CTAATTGAATTTGAGTTCGTTTATTGACGGATTAACTTAACAACTCGGCTCGACTCGTTGACATTTCATTATGAGATTTATGAGGAGTCGATAGTTTTCCCAACATAAACACTCAGTCAATTAATTAATAATTTTAACGACAACTTACGAGAGAGAGAGAGAGAGAGAGAGAGAGAGAGAGAGATTACATAAACAAATTTTGATCGGTTACAGAATTCGTGTTTAAGGCGATTTAATTGGGGGTTACGTTGTAATCATGGTAAGATTTAGACACGAAAAGATCGCTAGAATCGTAAATGCTTAAAATAACATAAGACAAAAATTTTATCGATCAGCTGTAGCGACTGGCAAAAAGATCAGTTTCTCCAAGATGTTTGTTGAGAATAGTGTATGAGAATTACAGTCGAATGTTTTGTGTATGATCAACGGGAGATCAAATGTGGGGAGTGCGATCGCGATGATCTTTACCCAAAGTGGGCTTATTTTTTAGATACAATCTCGTTGCCTTCTTCCGAGCATGAGAGCCGGTACTTATTGTAACATCCCGCTTTTCCATAAATATCAGAGTGCATTTTTCGCAATTTTTTTTTTTCTAAAAATACGTATCAGTTTGCGAAATCCTTTTCGGGATGCTACTAAACTAGCATGTCATTTTATTTTATATATATTTGATCTGATTTATCAGACAGACTTTTATACATTATCACATGCTAGTATAATCCGTTTATTCTTCAAAGCTAAATTTAAATAAAGATAACGTATTTTCAAAGCAATGTATGGTTTTTAGTAGCATCCCAAAAAGGATTTCGCAAACTGATACGTATTTTTAGAAAAGAATTTGCGAAAAATGCACTCTGATATTTATGGAAAAGCGGGGTGTTACATTTATACACCACAAAGGTGTCGGTGATTGACGATCAGAGTGATTGTCAATCTTCCCGAGAAGCTTTTTCGGGTGATTGACGTGTCGATTGAGTGATCGACAACCTTAATGGTGATTGTATGGGCCGAATGTGGAGTAATTTTCATGGTCTTGGGCTTTGTTTGTTACTTTGGCCAAGATTAAAACGTGGATCACATCACTTATTGTGATCGAATATTTTGAGTAGGAACATGTTTAAAAATGAAAACCCCATAAAATTTTTGAGAGGATGCTTGGATATAAATATTTTTGGGTTTGTTTGGATTTTTTGGTTTGGTTGGTTAATTTTAAAAGAAGCGATATGATTAGTTGTTAGTGGATATATTAAAATAATATTTAAAATAAACTAATTAAAGTTGATTTGATATAAAAGTAGGAGAGGAGCGAATTGAAGTGATGATTAGTTAAAATTATGTGAGTGGTGTTTGTCCTATTTTTTATATCTTTTCTTACCCCCGCTTTTAGGAATCTTTTTAATTCTTTTGGTCCACCAGTTGTTCGTTTCGCGTGTTTGCCGTTTATTTCTCGTTTTCGATATTTTATGCTCTCTTGCCTGTTTTCGTGTGTTTTTCTTTCGTCTTTGGTGGTGTGCAGAGTCAGGTTTTTCATCACACGTTTGGAGTTATTCAAATAACTGAGTAACCGAGCAGCGTACGTCCCGACCTTCAACACGAATCAACTCGAGTGTCAGCTTTTCCAGCCGTCACGCCGCGGCAGTATGCTTGTCACAGAAGCTCCGCGCCGCGAGAGTGCCACGACCTCGACAGAGTCCTCCCCAGATTTCTAGGCTCCGCGCCGCGGCAGGCGTCGCGCCAATGCGCAACATACTACCACGTCGTGTCACAACCTCGCGCCGCGGTGAAGCCCTCTGCCGTGCCACGGCAGGCCTCGCGCCACGGCGCCTGAAAGTCAAAGTCGCGATTTTTAGAGTGGAATAAGTAAGATCGATCCTGTGGCTTAGAAAAAAAATTCCGTACTCGTGTATTTTGAAAATTCTCTCGACCAAAAACATATTTCACTCTCTACTTTCTCTTAGATTCAATCTTGCAAGGTGAAAAACCTCAAGATTTTGCTTTCGAATTTAGATTGCTCGTTGTTTTCGACATTGGATTTTTTTTAATTAATCGTAAGCACATTTTCTCGTTTTGTTATGATGTTGTATGCTCGTGTTGATGTGTATTCTTGTGTTGAAAATGCGATGAGTGGCTAATTCCGTAAGTTAGGGATATGGGATGATTGTTTCGGTTCGTTATCGATTACGTGTTTGATAATTGCTCAATCTATGTGAGTTGTTGGTATTCTAGGGTTAGTTGATTGATCACCATTCTAACCTAATTAATTGATGTTTAGAACCGAGAAGGGAGACGTCGGTCGATTTAGGCTCGTTTAGAATAGACTTGTTCGTTATTGTATTGTCTATGTGTTGTTACGTTGGATTTTATAAGTTGATCGTTTATGTTCACCCTCTTGTTACGAAGAGTTATTGAAGGTGGACCTCTAGACGAGTAACGACTCAAACCCTTTAACCGAGCATTTGATTGCCCGGTAATTGTGTCAAGAACCAAAAACGATTATCCCTAACTTCCTAACTCTTTTATCATTAAGTTAATTTATTTGCTATTGAATTTTCGAATTACTTTGTTTGCGAATCGTTAGTTGATAATTAAAACCAAAACCAATCTCTGAGTTAGTATGTTGAGGAATGATAATTTTTCTTTTTGAGTGATTGGATACTGTACAAATAATCCGACCAACCTTCCTTGTGATACGACCCGAGGAATGAATCTTTCGGTTCGACTCCGGTAAAAATACATACAACAAGTGGATGGATAGTGAATTAAAGTTGATGTGGTGTATAAGAATGATTAACTGATATTATTTAATTATATTGATAATATTGACGATTTGAGTTAAAATTTAATAAAAAAAGTGATTGAACTAGAAATGCTTCAATTTTTTTAAATAGTTTTGTATCCAAGCATCGTCGGAGCATTTTAATGTGCATCGACCAACTTCTAAACGAGACTTAGGAGTAAAAAACGACACACTTCGTTGCAACAAGTAATTTCAATTAGAAGAAAAAAGCCCAAAAGATTGTAAAAGTGAAAAATAAATTCAAAGGATTAATCTTAATCACACCAACACTACCAAAAAAACTCTTACATTCCAACGAAAATTTTCCGTTAGAATTCTTTATATTTTTCGTATAACTATTCCAACGTATATTCCTACGTATAAAAATTCGTGAGAAAAACGACCGTTGGAATAGCTAAAATCCAACGGAAAATCCTATGGAAATAAATTTTTGCAGCTATTTCAACGGAAAAAATCCGTTGGAATTCCTCAACTATCCAACACTTATTCCAACATAAAATTAAGTTTGTTGAAATATTCATTGGAATTTCCAATAGGAATTTTTGCCGTCAGAATTTTTCGTTGTAATTGAAGTATTTTCTTTTTGTGCAAATTATCAAAAGTTCGTTTCAATTACTTGCAATAAGAAAAAAAAATGTACTATATATGTTAACACTTCTGAATAGTTATATATTGTCTTGCTTGAATTTCCCACTACAATATTATCCTCTATTTTCAGACAAAATGGGTCCGTCATATCACATATTTATTCTCATTAATAGTACAGATTTTATTTTATTTTTTCTCTTGTTGGTAAAACTAAATTAGTTTAATCTGTATGTATATATAGACCCCTTTTTATTCTTCATATCTGATAATTAAACCTTTAATTAATTATAGGCTTTATCTAATCACAATGTATCTAGCCGTACGTTGTTTTGGTCATGTGACCTGCAGCATTAATTAGCCACATTAAACAAGTTTTTCATGTGTTCATATATATATATACATATATAGTTTTATGAACTTTGTTGCGTTACGCAATAAAATATATCATAAGTTTTATAAACACAACATGTGATGCAGATGTAATTAATTGCGAACTATATATATCATCTTTTATTTCACACGACATTTCATGAGATATTATTGTTGTACAAATTATATAATGAGATATTTCGAAATATATTAATACTGTTCACATAGATGGACAGGACAATAATGGGAATTAAATTCAAGTTTTGTTTATTTATTTAAAATATTTTTATTAATTAATTATCAGCAACAATTTAATTAATGCATATTCAGAAGTGCGTAATATGGGCAATTATTAATGTTTTCTGAATTATTGGTTAGAAATTTGGACCCGCTTTTCTATTTTAAGTTGTCAAAAATATTAATCCACAAATTCAAAGGGAAATATATATATATGCAATTAATTTAATACTACACTTTAAATATTTCATTGTTCATGTTATTATGACCTTCATGTTGCATTATTTGACTATTCGTATAATTAGTGAATGTATTATTAAGATGTGCATTAAATAAGTATTATAACATACATACATAAAAAGATAGATTAGTAAGAGACATACATAATATTTAGGCAACCATATATTTTTCAACGGAAATGTATTTCTACTAGAAATGTCGTCATATATATATATATATAAAACAAACATAAACAAAAATATGTCATTTCATAATACAAGTATGTAGTTTTATTTTAAAAAAAATATATAATGAATCGACTCGGTCTAACGGTTTGACAACACGACACAAGAATTTGTGAAACATCATATGTTTTATTGTTAGGCATAAATGAGGTAGATCAAATCATATTATATTCAATATTTTTGCTTATTGTGTGGTATCAATGTTTTTTTCCTTTTTTTTTTTTAATTAAAATAATAACATCTTTACATTTGATTTTTTTTTAATTATTTAGCTGTAGCGCGCGTCAGCCTATCAACAGACATGAATGATAAATTTTCCTCATCTAATTTTGAAATCTTTAACTAGAATGATTTAATTTAATGAGAAACGACTTTAATTTATTTTAATGTAATTATTCAAATAGTACCTCCAACCTCCCCCAACTCATATATATATATACACGCATAGCTAACATTCTTATTGTCCAATAGCTCGAGCAAATCAAATCAAACAAACATCACAAAACAAAAGGCCAATTAAATTTTAAAAAAAAAAATCACAAAAAATGACTCACGCCAAAACCACCACCGGCGCCGCCGTGGCCAAGGTGGAGATTAGCCCATACTCATCCCCGTCGCCGCCGTTATCCGCACCGTCTTCTCCCCCGACTCCACCGGCTCCGGCTATCCTCACTCCTTGCGCCGCGTGCAAGATTCTCCGGCGAAGGTGCGCCGAAAAATGCGTATTGGCGCCGTATTTCCCGCCAACCGAGCCGCTAAAGTTCACGATCGCGCATCGGGTTTTCGGAGCTAGCAACATTATCAAATTATTGCAGGTAAAAACAATAATTATTATTACTATTATTTCCCTCATGTTTTGTGAACATGCAAAAAATTGTATTAATGTTCATACTAATTAACTATAATGTTTAATAATTATGTGCACTTGATCATATTAGTTGTAATTGGGTATGAGAGCTTTCCATGTTCAATGTTCTGCACTGCAGTTATCGAGTTTTTACAATTAAATTAATATTTATTATAGATACATATTCAGGTGAATGTGTGTTAATCCAACGATCCAATTTCATTTAATTTGTCATCTAGTTGTTATTTATTTATCAATAATTTTTTCTTTTCTTTTTCTTAATGGGAAAAAAATATTTGAAATTGATTAATTCATAATAAGAGTTTATTGCAATTCCCTCTATGATGGAATTAGCTCCCGAGTTTTTTTTCAAAGAAACCGGGCCCAAAAAATCGTTCTATTTCGTCGTGTTCTATAATCGATAAAAATAAAATAAAATTTTATCGGTCAAAAGTCGAGACCTTTTTTTTTGTTTTATTTTATTTTATTTTTTTCTTTCTTATTCTTCTTATTATGTTTTTTGAATTGACCAAAACATTCCGTAATAATGCGCAAAGATTTCCTAATAAAAAAGATTATCATTAGTCATTATTAATTACTAATATGCACTTAATTACATATCTATAATACCATTTAAAGAAATTACTCGTGACTTACGACCGCAACTTTTTTCCCTGCCCATATATATATATTCATACTACGTTGAACTTTACATGTTTTGTGTCAAAACATGTCTATTAACAAAATTAATTGATATAATTTTATGTAATTTATTCAGGAGCTCCCCGAGTCACAACGAGCCGATGCTGTGAATAGTATGGTGTACGAGGCGAACGCGAGGCTGAGGGACCCGATCTACGGCTGTGCTGGTGCCATCTGCCACCTCCAGAAACAAATCTGTGATCTCCAAGCTGAGCTGGCAAAGGCACAGGCAGAAATCCTGAACATGCAGTGCCAAAATGCCAATCTTTGTGACCTAATCTGCAAGGTACAAATGGGCACAGCACAAAGCCATGGAATTGAGGACCATCATAATAATAATAGTCATAGTTTGGGGGTACAATCAGCTGCAGCATTGGCATACAATACTCAGAACACAACATTTATTGAGGATGCTAACATGGGAGTTTCTTGGGAGCCACTTTGGACATAAGTATAAGAAGAGGATAATATATGTGTTATTTTGTTTTAAATTTTTTATTTTTATTTTTATTTTTCGGTTTTGTTTTCGTATTTTGTAATTGATCATCATCTACGGAAAATTTCATCCGATCCGTAGGTAATGTCCGAATTGGAGTTTTAGCTGTCAGATCGACACACATCTGCACGATTTTGTGTGATTTGATGGCTAAAACTCTGTGAGCCAATTTAGATAAATAAAAGTTACCTTATTTTTCTTAGTATTATCCAAGTGCACCTAGTGAAAATGAAATGAAGGGATATATAATACATTTACATATATTATACATATCTATACTTATATAAAAATGCATTCTATTTACTAGAATTAATATTACGAAAAGTCAAAGTTAATTAATGCTTCTATTTCCATCAAGTATTTTATTTAATTATTTTAGTTAATTGTTTTATCTCATAACACATTTTCAATACAACTTACCATGATTTTTCTATTGTGATTAAAAACTAAATTTTACATTTAAAATATTGTGAAATTATTATTAATATTTTTATAAAGCACATATTATTTGTTAAAAAATTGTATATATATATATATATAATACACATCACAGTACCATGGTAGATGATTAAAATTTCAACCGATCAAAATGTCAATTATTTAAATTTGAACACACCTATGCGTTTGACCAAATGTCTGGATGATTTAAAATTGAACCCATCAAAAATTATTTAAATTTGAACACACCAGAAATTTTATGTACTTTTTATTTATAAATATATCGAAAGTGATATTTAATGGCTGTTGTATAAACTATTTTAATATATTTGCAATGAATAAAAGTTTGAACGAATAATTTGTAATGTTATTCATAATGTTTGTGACTTACGAGACACAAACACATAACTTCATACATATTTGTCAGATGGCGGCTTAGTAATTTTTTAAACTTAATGTTGATTAAAAGAGGTAGAAAATAAATAATAAAAAATAACTCATTTAATATCTTTGTCCCGTCATCGCACGGAGTACGTACTAGTATATATTAAGATTTAACATAAATTACTTTTAGTAACCTTTTCTCGCCACTTTTCATTAATTACTTACTGTAAAAAGTAAGTATGTGTAGTTGTTATTTTATAAAAAGTAAGTATGGGCAGTAACCCAATCACTATATTAATTGCATCCTATATATCTTTTCCTTGAAATTCGGATTTTGTTATGGTATGGGTAGTTGTTATTTTATCAAATCTGTTAACATTTTTTGTTTTTATATTTGGAAATGAAAATCAGTTTTATTTTTGGTTTTGATTATGGAGACATTCTGATACACGATTCCTTCGTAACGTTTTTGCAACAAATTCCCAAATATTCAATTAGCATTTTAATTGGTTTCGTACTTTAAAATCTTATTGCAATTTCAGTACTGTAATTTAAAAATGGTTTTTTACGGTCAGGGCTGCTGAATTGTACTGCTTGAGAAAAATTGTACTGTTTGCAACACTTTTTATTTATAAGGGTTGCACATTATAAATGCTTAATTGCAATTTTGGTTCTATTAGATTATGAAGATTATGATGTTAGCAATTTAGGTCTTGAAACTTTGAAGCTTTGCTGCAGTTGCGGCCAAGGCGTCCTTTATTCATTAAAATTGCCAATTTTGATGGTCCAAATGATTGATGGTCCCAATTCGACTAGGTGCCGTCTAGGCCTCGCCTAGATGCTCTATATGGTAGGCGCTGATCGAGTGCCTAGCGAGCGCCTGACGACTTTTAGAACACTGACAATAACACATAATAACGTGTATATATATGTAGAAATATATACGTCACTACAAAAAAACTCTTACATTCCAACAGAAATTTTCCGTTGGAAATCTTTATATTTTCCGTTGGAATAGCTATTCCAATGGATATTTCTACGTATAAAAATTCGTGGGAAAAACAGTCGTTGGAATAACTAAAATCCAACGGAAAATCCTATGGAAATAAATTCCTACAACTATTCCAACGGAAAAATTTGTTGGAATTCCTCTACCATCCAACACTTATTCCAACACAAAATTAAGTTTGTTGGAATATTCATTGGAATTTCCAACATAATTTTTTTACGTTGGAATTGCAATGTTTTCTTGTAGTGCGTTACATTATTTATAATTAATTAAGGACAACTTTCTCTTTAAATATGAGATTAATATTGTCGTGACTTGTGCAAAATGCATCTTATATAATTTATTTATTTTTTTGGTCTAAAAGGTGCCATGCAACATTTTTCATGATATTTTCCAAAAAAAAGATTAAAAAAAATAAAAGAATCTAACAACACATGCAAACACACAAAAACATAATAGTAACGCGTTTGTTTATTAATTCATTTATTTGGCAATATTAACTGTAATTTAATTTAATAATTGCCAAGCCAAAAGATCCGCGAAATGAATCACATAAGACTACAGTTGGAATCTCTTGAAGCAAAAATGCTGGATTCCAAATTCAAGATATGCTAAAAAAATGTTTCTTATTTTTTGGCTAATTTCTTATTTTAATTTTCGCTTAAATGAAATGAAACTGTCATTAAAGTGGTCTTTAATGTGGGTTTTTTGTACCATCACTGGAGCAAAATTATGGGGTCTTTATCACGGCCTTCGACTGGCTTGGGAACTGGGAGCGCGTCAAGTGCTAGTGGAAGTTGATAATAGTAGTGTCGTAGCCATGACGTTGGGAAATGAGGTTAATTTTGGCCTCCATGAGTCCATCATTCAGGCTATTCGCGAGTTCCTCAACAAGGAATGGTGTGTGCGACTGTCCCATATTTATCGGGAAGGAAATTTTACGACCGATAAGCTAGCGGCGCTAGCTACTGGAATTGCGGTTGGATTACATCATCTTACCTCCCTGCCGCAAGAGGTCGGCCATTGGCTGAGTCATGATATCTTAGGCGTGGCTCGCCCAGGTAGGGGTTTGGTTTAGTCCTTATCAGGCTTCTGCCTCTTTTTTTGTACCAAAAAAAAGTGGTCTTTACAATTTTATTATTATTATTATTTTTTTAATGAGTAACATGTAACTTTGAAAAACACATTTTTATTGAATATTCATTTATTTATATAACTTTGATTGTCCTCATTTCGTGTGGGTTTGAGAGGTTATTTTTCTTGATGGTCGGTAGAAAATCGTGTGTTTTTGAGTGACAAAAAACTAAGTAAATTGATAATATAATATAATTATATAAAAAAAAAATATAAATTAAACGCGTCACTTGTGGGGCCAAAATAAACCAAAATAAAAATTGAGTCAATTGTACCAAAAATAAATAAATAAATAAATAAATAAAAATTGAGTCTTGATGATGATAAGGATTTTTAAATCTTGTCCCAATTATTGGGACTTTTTAAGATATGTAATGTCGGTAAAAATTTACCTATTTGAATCCTTCTACTTTAGTCTTTAAACAAAACTTTATGTTAAATAATAAAATCATCCCTATTTACCACTTTCACATTACTATTCACGACTTTTAATTATAAATCATAATTTTAAATTTGACATTTTTCCAGTCAAAAAAGTTGTGTCCATAACCATAGAAAAAAATTTAAACTTCATTTGACTATATATTTTTTTTAACACCTAATTTTTTAGTTAATTAATTACTAAACATTGATTAGAAACTAATTAAATCAAATAAACTTTTATTGATTGGTCGTCATCTGAGCGCGTGCTTTATAGATTTTATTCTTTGGAAGATACTCGAATTTGTCCCAACAGAAGAAGAATACTATTTCTTGTCATTTAACGATGTAATAATCATGTAATTGAAGTACTCTTGAGAAAAATTAATTAATTTTTTTTACTTCAATTTACATTTTTTTAAAATATTATATATATATATATAATTAATTAACAATGAAAAGCAAGAACAAAGAAGCAAGCTGCTGTAACATAAAAAAGTGTGAACAAAAATTTAGATGAAAATATTTGTTCTTAAAAAAAGAAAAAATAAAATTAGGGAAATTGTCAATCTTATGTTGGAAAATGTGTGAAAATGAGAGCATTTGTTTGGCTCGTAAGTCGCAGACAATTTAGACGAATTATTAAGAAAAATATATTTCAATTTTAACAGAGGTAGAATATTAGCACATCGGTTTTCATGTGAAATGACAAAAAATAATGTTGGAAAATTCACATAAACATGTGAATCATACAAAAAGATTTATCATCCTTATTACAAACACATCTTGACACTTGCAAAATATGCAGTACGTGTGCAATTTCATCAAGGAAAAAGAAAACAGATCAAACTTTTCGTAATTTCATAAAACTTCAGGGGCACATTTGCAAATTATTCGCGCGTGCATCATGTGAAAGCCGGTTCAACCCATCATCGCCTTCCTCAGAAGCTCATAACCGGAATAGTTCATGGCGCCAAGTGACGCGACCCAGAAGATCCGAGGGACGGCCCCTTTGAAAAGCCCGATCGGCTTCTTGGCGCAAAATCGAGATCGCTATAAACGATACTTTTGCAGTTTGTTCGTGACTAGCAACCATCATCCTCGTTTTTATAACGTCGATTGGAGTTGTTAAGACGGCAGTTAGCAGAGCCCCAACAGCCACCGTTTTCCAAGGCTGCAGCTCCCGGCCTATAATCCGCTGGACAACCTAAAATAGTGTGGAAGTCTTGAATTAGACAACCCTGAGCCTGAGGTCAAATATTACATTTTTGAAACCAATTTTTGTCTTTCAGTATTCGTGTCCAAATACATAACAAGAGAATGTTTTGTATTTATGATGGGCTAAATTGCACATTTGGTTTTACTATTAGATTATGAAGGTAGCAATTCAGGTCCCTCTGGATTGATATTATAGCATTTCAAGTCCTGTAATTTAAGATTTTGTTGATATTTAAGTACTTTAGCCGTCAAAATTCCCAATTTAATAGGCAAAAATGTATTTTTAATCTTGTTGGTTTAACGTCATAACAATTTTAGTCCCAAAATTTCTACTTTTTGCATTTTGGTCCTGTGATTTACTGATCTGCTGCAATTTCAATCTCAAATGACTGAAATTGCAACAAAATCCCAAATATTCAATTAGCATTTTAAGTTATGTACTTTAAAATCTTGTTGCAATTTCAGTACTGTAATTTAAAAATGGTTTTTTACTATCAGGGCTGCTGAATTGTACTGCTTGAGGAAAATTGTACTGTTTGCAACACTTTATTTATAAGGGTTGCACATTGTAAAGGCTGAATTGGAATTTTGGTCCTATTAGATGTGAAGATTATGATGTTAGCAATTTAGGTCTCACTCGAGTTGAGTTGAGTAGCATATAGCAATTTAAGTCTTGAAACTTTGAAGCTTTGGTGCAGTTGCGGCCAAGGCGTCCTTTATTCATTAAAATTGTCAATTTGATGGTCTAAATGATTGAAATTGCAACAAAATTTTAAATCACATGACTTACATTGCTAATCAAAATCCATCTCAAATATATAAATGTCAAAATTGCATTTTTAGTACTATTGGTTTAACGTCATAGCAATTTTAGTCCCAAGGATCCAACTTTTTGCCTTTTGATTGATGGCACAAATCAATTCTTAATAATGCTAATTGAATAAAATGGTAAAAAAACCATAGCAATTTTTTTTTTTTTTCCTTGAAAATGGTTTCTTACTGTCAAGATGATCACAGAGTAATTAGTTTTCTTTATCTTATTGCTTCGTAATTAGATTTCTCTATACCAATCCCCAATTATTTGTGTCTGCTTTCAAATTAAATAAAAAATTAAACACAATTTATTTTTTAAATAAAAAATTAAATAAAAAGTTCTCATTCCTAAGAGTTCAACATATAACATGAGGACCTTAAACACTGGCTGTGTTTTTTTTTTTTTTTTAATGTCATAATACACCACGAATAATACATATCATGAATTATTTAGGTACCATGAGATAATTTGTTTGAGCCAATGTTATCTTGTAATCACTATGGCAAAATTATTGTCGTACTACAATTAAATGTGAAGACTTGAAGATCAATTATTTTTACAGAATGTAATAAAAGACTTACTGCACAAAGCCGAGATTTGAAGTATGGTTGTGCGACAGGTAAGCCGAGTGGTGTTGTCCAACGTACAGGTTCATTTTCTGAAGCAATAACCTGTCAAATAACACCACATAAGCATAAAAATTTTATAATACAAATCAAATACAGCAATTACTAGCTTCCACACTCTAATTCATTATTATCTTTGTTTAGTAAAACCTTAGCACAGTCACTAAGCCATCCCATAATTGCTCGTACAGCTTGAAATAGCTCTCCAAGGGCTGCCGATGTCACCTGCAAGATTTTAGTGTTCAAAGCATGTAAGGCTGTGATTGGAAATATTTTTCGAAAAATTTAGTCCCATCCGAAAATAGAGATGGAAAAGTGAAAAACGTAACACCATAACATGCTGAGGTCATCACATGCTGCACTGAAGAGCAGCCTTTCGTCTGTAATAAGACCCTTCTCCTCCAATCTTCTCTTTATCTGTTCGCGTGCACCAATATAAGTAACACCATATACTGAGGTCATCAGAGTCTGTTTGACAAGTTTTCTATCCGCCTGATAAAGCTTTCAAACATTCAAGTTCTTGATATGCATGATATGTCCTAAAAACTTGAAAAAAAAAATTGTGGGAAAGAAAAATTTTCACCTGACCAATCAAGAGTTTGGTTAGCAAAGCATTTGAATCTTCTGGTGGGTCCTTTTCGCTCTCTCTTTTCATGATACTGTAAAAAACCCACGAATCAATTCTTAAAAATGGTTTTTACTGTCATTCCTGAATTTCTCTGGTTTGATTCTTTAATATTCAAAAACATATGGTCATCGTGTACTTCAAGTGTATGAAGAATAAAGGGCTGTTGTAATGATGTAATAATGCTTCAAATCGAAAAGGCGTAAAGATATTAGCAGTAGCAATAATAATAATCATTGAGGACAAACTTTTACCTTAATTGGGTCAACAGGGTGCATTATAGATGCAGATAATGCACAAGAAAGCCCTCCGGCCAATGCTGATTTCAAAACACTGTCACGGGGAATTTCTACAGCAGACTTTATACTCCTACCAAAATCACACAAAGCAGAAGTTTGCCATTAAAACTTAAATTTCTACTCAGAAGCTGATACAGGATGAGCTACTTAAAATACTTCTAAATAATGTTCTGTTCTTATTTATTTCTTAAAGTTCATAAGGAGATTGATGGAAACAATATCACACTTTATTGTGCTCTTGAATAGCACCATTTGAGGCACAAGCTTTTTTTTTTTTTTGGTTTTGAAGCATTTCGGTATTTGAGGATGAATTGAATTGTTCAACAAGCTTTCATATAATGTCTAAACTTCTTACAGCCATGAAAAGGAAAACAGTTGAGGGACAACCATGTAAAAAGAAGCCAACTGCAGGGGTATATTCGTCCAAAAAAGACACGTGTCGCCTCCTAAAGGCCTAACATTGTTGCCTTATATGTATTGGAGAGACTGATTGATGTACTCTTGATATGGCTTAAAACTTCTTTGGAAATCCATATCCTGCTGCTTCAAATTCCGCAATGTTTCCAACTCCTTTGGTCCAAAATCAGTATTAAAATCCTCAAATTTCAACCTGATCGGGCAGCCCGCATCAAACAGCTCCTTCCCCACGATTTCTAGACCATTATCAGACTCCATGAATTCGCTTCTCCCAAAAACATGGGTTGAGAATATACAACTTCTGGGCCCGGGTTCCCACTTTTCGACACAAGGTGGACTTTCTGAAAAAGCAGACGGCTTGTAAAAAGAGAACTTCGATTTTTGAGTAAGACTTGCCATACTCTCAATGTCATCCGCAAGCGACACATAATCGTCTTCCCGATTTTCAGCAATGTGCTCCCTGACAGCCTCCATAACCTTCTCGCACTGACTTTTGAATTGAACGTGTGTTGAGAAAGCTTCCGATTCTTCCAGGTAAAGCTCTCTTTTGCTTTTGCGCTCTTCGACTAAGAGCCTGTATAGGGCAGTCAAGAAAAGGGGAGGGATTACTGGGCCAACAAGGGCATCAGGGGGCTGAACTTTGGTTGACCACTGATTGCTGCGGAAGGACGGCCTCCTGAAATGGAAAGGCGGGGCCTGGGGCTGGTCTGGAATATCGAGAAACTCGAGGGGCTCATTGCCGTGATCCACATCGAAATCTGAGTAGACAGCAAACGCGGATGGCAACAGACCCACGGGCAGAGCAGCAAACACACCCATGAGACCAATCTCGTGTACGCTTGTAGGCCAGCTGATGCCACCCAACGCGGCTGAGATCCCAACGAATGATCGGGCCTCCAGAGGCCCGAGATTCTTCAGCTTGTGGCACATTTCCTTATGAAAATTCCGATCCGAATTATCCAAATGCTCTTTTCTGGACCCGGCACCTTCATCACTTTCCTCGATTTTCTCTCTCCTGCTGACGATGCATTTTTCTAGATTGCCTCTAAAGAAGGCTTCAAGAAAACTCAGGTCGATGTGCTGCATTTTCTTGACCCCCTCGTATTCCAACTCCATTGCGTCGTGTAAACGATTCTCCTCCATATCAGCACTTTTCCGCTTGTGCCCCTGAAACTTCTCTGGTTCCCATGCTGCATGGTAAGGTTGAGCTTCAAGCTTTCCACATGATGTTAGTCTGATTAGCACGAAGCCGCCAAAGCTATCCACAGACAACAGCTGAGCAGAAATATCTGCCTCGAAAATGCAAAATCCCAAAGCCAAGTGTTTTTTCTGCCTCCAGTCAACCCAAACCGGACGGGACATTTTTGCGAATGCCTCCCTGACTAAACAACTACCACATTAGCAAGCACAATCTGACAACGAAAGCTTTGACGGGAGTCCCCATGCATTGTACAAGTAGCACGTCTTTGATATTTTTGAAGATAAAGAGTCGTCTCTATTGCACTCGGGGCCATAACAGAAAAGTCTAAACTCGTCGTCCTAAAAAGATCCCAGCACGATACAGTAGCATAATTCTGAAGCCAATTCGTACTCTGTACTTTCTGCATTTGCTCTCAGATCAGACAGTCTGAATACCTCCAGATATCGTGGATTCTGAATACAGTGGGCCCACCTCAACACCGGGCATCAATGGCCTCCGCACGTCACAAAGGAGTAACAAATGTTTTGTGGCCACGGTAAAGGAGAACCCATCCAAGCCCGCCTTCGACAGAGAGAAAAATCCATCATTCTGATCTTCAGACAACATGTCAAGCTTTAGCAAGAAACGGACACCACAGTCCTCTAGGGACCTCAAATCGACCAAGAAAACTTCAGTGCGGTTGGCTGCAATGAGTATCCTAGGATGCCAACTGAACTCACACTTCAACCAGTCCCGGCTTTTCTTACGACTTTCCTCGTTCTCCAGTCCCAGCTTATCAGTCAATGAGATGTGCATCCTTTTGTTAATAGCCCTATTATTTCCACCGAGCGAAAATCTCGCCTGGGCGTCCCTTAACGAAGAATTAACATCAAACAACAGCAAATCACCATTCTCCAACAAAACCAAGCATTCTTCCTTCAGATGGGGGTTCCAGCATGCACTGACCACCATATTGCCCAAGAGGTTCTTAGCATCAGCACACCCTAGATAATCCAGACGAACGGGATACTCATTTTGTCCACATACCAAACTCATCCCAATTTCATACCAAAAAACAGAAAAATGGGAGCAGACCATCAGAAAGCCAACCGTGACAGTCTTGGGTTTATTACCCACATCTCCAAGTGTCCCACCACAACAGAACTCCTCAACCGGATTAACCAGAAAAAGGGTTATCCGATGACAACTCAAATTACCCCCTTTTGCCACATGGAAAAGGTCCTCCGTTTGTGAACGAACGCTCAGGATCCCGTCCCTCACATGAAGCAACAAGAAACACACTGTATTCGAATTTTCCCCGGCCAGAAAGAATGCGACAATCAGATTTCTGTTCGCAATCCGAAGCAACTGGAGAGAGTTGAAGCCGTGGAAGGCCGACGAGTAGTCGGGAAGTTCGGCACCGAGTAAATAGGGTACAGAGGAGGAAGTGAGAGGGACAGAATTGTAAATTCGGACAAAACGGGAAAGGGAGAGGGACGGATAAGGCGGGGGAAGGCGCGGGGAAAGGTAGGGAGAGTGGAGGATCATGGTGGAGGAACTAGGCCTAGGGGTGAATATCAATGGGCCTATGGGTGTTTCATGTGATTTGTTCGGGATAAGGACAGGCGCGGAGAAAGTGGAGGATACGGGCCAGAGAGATTTCCACTCGCGTGTGAAATCCATCTTTTAGGAGGTCTGGACTATGATGTCTGAGGATTATGAAGGGTAGAAATACTTTTAGACCTGCCAAATATAAAAGACACAAGAATGCGTTAGAATGACTCACCATGTGCAACACTTATGTAACGCCTCGTTATTTTCTCGAATAAGACCAAACTTAGATCATATAATAACAGCGATTTAAATTCATGAAATGATAAGGCTAAGGGCCACAACATCTGAATTATAATTAACACCTTACAGCATGCTCAAAAACTCATGAAAAGACTCAGCCAAAACACGGGAACACTTACATCTCAATTATGTGCATGCCTTTCTCCTCTTTGGGCGAGTAAAGAACAATAAACTATTTATTTATCTCCTAACATACTAATAACAATTCTCAAATACAACTAGTTTATATGCTCGGCATACTAACATTTAACACATACATATTAACAAATGCATAACTAGTTTATATGATGCATTTAACAAATGCTTCAGTATATAAAAAAAATAAAAAATAAAAAATAAAAAATATTACAGCTTGTATACCAACACTTCTCATAACATGCATACTAACAAAATTATTCAAAGGATCACAATTTGACAAACCACAATGCCATAAAACACATGATAAACGCTTCTTTTCATCCTTCATTTCTCAAGCTTAAACCTTCAACATCATAGCCATATAAACAAGGTAAAATACTCCAAATACACTTTAAATCAGAGAGGGAACAACCATCAATTTAAACACATGTATATAATATCCCAATAATATCCCAATCTCCATGATTCGAACCAACACTTAGAACACCACAAGGATCCAAACGAACAAAAATAAAAGAGAAAGATCGAGATTACCACGCTCCTCGATTCCACACGAAGAGAGGAAAATCGGTTTGAAGTTCGACCAAGGGCACTAACGGCCTCTGGAAGGCCTGAATCGCTGCAGCCCGGACACCTATACGTCCTGGAAAATAGCCCATTTGCCGCTGCTCAAGCTCTCGGTCGCCGCTCGGAACAAAGGCACCTCAGCCCACGGCTGTTTGCTCCCGACAGTCCCCCAGCCCGGCGGTGTTTGACTCGATAAGGAGGCGGCTGCTCATTGAACAAAGGTTGGCTCTCCCATTCGAAACGAAAAAGAACTCAGCCGCTGCTCGTGAATACGGTCGCCGGAAATTGGGGGTTTTGCCGTCGGAAAAACGCAGCCCTGCCATGGCTGCTTGCAACTCGGCCGTGAGTGGTGCTCGCCCTTCGTCAGCCGGAAAAACAGTCGGTCGCCGCTCGAAGAGGGGTCGCCGAGCGGTGCTAGGGCGGAGGTCGCGACGGGCCTGACGTCGGCGGCTGCTCACGCGAACAGAGGTTGGCTCAGTCTGGTCGGACGTGGTCGGGAGTCGTTGGTGGTCTCGTCGGCGATGGGGAGGCTCACGACGGGGTTGACGGAGATGCTGGAGTGCCTGATACGGCCGCTGCGAGACGCCGGCGAGGAGAGAAGCTCGCGACGGATCTATTCGCAGAGGCTGTGGAACAGAATTTCTCGACGACGGTTGGCTGAGCTCGGCGAACAGGGGTTCCTCGCGGACGGCTCGCGTGACAACGATGAGGACGCAGCGGTTGACGGGTTCTGCGATATATGCCGGCGAGGTGAGTTGATTGGATGCAGGGTGAGCTTTGATAAAGAAATGGGCTGATATGAGGAAGATGCTTGGGCCATCTCTTTGAGTTTGGACCGGAGACTTTCATCCAAGGGCCTAGGATTAATTACTTTATTTGGGCTAGGAAAATAAACCAATTTGGGCTGAATAAACTCGACTGGAACGGGCCAGCAATTAATTTATTTTGGGCTGAAATAATATTTACACAAAGGGCCAAAAATAAAAACAACCTCAAGACTCGATTGGAAGAACGACTCGAAAGAAGACCACGCGATTGAATAAATGATTTTTGAATGATTTTAACTAGCAATTTAATAAAATTACAGTATGAACGTACAATTAAATAGGGCAAGCTTTAAGAAAAATAAAATACAAACACATAAAAGAAAAAAAATGCAAGCAAATATAAAATAAAAATACGCAATTCGCGATAAACGAATGGGCCACTATAACTTAAGTTTTGGAAAAGAAAATACATAAAAAGATAATAAAATTACACTTGTATACTTGCTGAAGATAGTTTGTAAGCTTATTATAAACTTTTAAATTTGTATTCATCTAATTAACTCTATTTGTGGAGCTTATAAGATGAGACATTGAATTCTATATTTGTGGAAGATCAAATTCAGAAGTCCAAATCACATCTTGACACTTGCAAAATATGCAATAACTGTACAATTTTTCAAGAAAAAGATAAAAAAATAAAATTCAAAAGAGGCAACATTTCAAATTTCATAAAACTTCAGGGGCACTCCTGCAAATTATTCACGCGCGTGCAGCATGCGAAAGCCGTTCAACCCATGGCCTTCCTCAGAAGCTCGTAACCCGAAAAGTTCATTGCGCCAAGTGGCGCGACCCAGAAGAACCGAGGCACGGCCCCTTTGAAAAGCCCGACTGGCCCTTCTTGGCGCAAAATCGACATCACTATAAACGATACTTTTCCTGTTTGCCCGTGACTGGCAACCATCATCCTCGTTTTTATAACGTCGATTGGGGTTGTTAAGACGGCAGTTAGGCCTCCCGACAGAGCCCCGACAGCCACCGTTTCCCAAGGTTGCAGCTCCCGACCTATAAGCCGCTGGACAACCTGAAATAAAGTGGAAGTCTCGAAATAGACCAGCCGGTTAAGGTCAAATATTGTATTTCTACGCGAGTTTTTTGTCGAAACACGTTTGACACCAGTTTTTGTCTTTCGTTATTATGTGTCTAAACCCATCACAACAGAATGTCCTGCATCTATAATGGGCTAAATTGCAAATTTGGTCTGTTAGATTATGAAGGTAGCAATTTAGGTCCCTCTGGAGTTATGTATAGCATTTCAAGTCCTGTAATTTAAAATTTTGATGTAATTTCATTCCTTTGGCCGTCAAAATTCATAATTTATATAGACAAAAATGCATTTTTAGTCATGTTGGTTTAACGTCATATCATTTTTAGTCCAAGATTCCAACTTTTCGCATTTTAGTACAGTGACTTAATATTTTGCTGCAATTTTAGTGCAGTGATTTAATATTGTGATGCAATTTTAGTACAGTGATTTAATATTTTGCTGCAATTTTTAGTTCTCAAGAAACTGAAACTCCGACTAAATTTTAAATTACAAGACAGAAATTGCAACAAAATTTAAATTACAGGACATAAACATAAATTGCTACTCGAAAAACTGGGAATTTATTGCAATAAAGAAATGAATTGCAGCAAAATATTAAATCACATGATCAAAAAGCGAAATGTTAGAACCTTATGACTAAAATTGCTATGGCGTTAAACCAGCAGGACTAGAAATATAATTTTGTCATTTATATAGTTGGGATGGATTTTGATTAACAATTTAAGTCCTATAATTTAAATTTAAGTCCTATAATTTAAAATTTTATAGCAATTTTGGACCATAAAAACGAGAATTTTAACAGTTTCGACCAAAATTGCAGCAAAGTTTAAGGATTTAAATTGCTATATGTTACTCAATTGATACTTGACACCTAAATTGCTACCGTTATTATCTAATAATATAATAGGACAAAAATTGCAATTCAGCCTTTACAATTGTATACCCTATGAATAAAAGAAGTGTTCAAAGTCTCATGCGATAGATGAATTTGTACCTTCTTGGACTCGGCATATAGGCCCATCCCAGCAACGTAGAACGGTATCTCCCGGCAGAGAGTGGCGGCAGTGCCACGGAAAAAGCCACCGGCACCATCTTCCCGCCATGTCCCGACGATAGCTTGGCCCACATTTTCGAATAAACCGGCTTGCAATCTTTGCTTCAATACCTCGCATGGAATTCTCACCGCCGTCCCCAAAAAGGTGCCGCAAAATGATGACATGGATTCTACCTAATTAAAAACACCATGTTTACAAATGAGTCTTTAGTTTAGTATAGTGGGTAAAATCCTTCCTCTTTAAGATGCTACATTTGTTTTATTTCAGTTTTTGATTGTCTAGTGATCATCTCACTCTTTCTGATTCTGTTTTTGAAAACTATGTTTCATTTTATTGTATAAAAAAAATCAAAAAGAATAAAAAATGAAAATACTGCAACTTAAACAAAATTGAACTAATCGTTAACCACACGAAATCACCCTCACCTGCATTAATGGAAGTTCGGGTGCAACATTTATTAGCACGAGCTTGCTTGCTTCACAAATTCCAGTCCGTAAGCCGTGGCTAAAATATTCGGTAAATTAATAACACATACACACACACACACACACACAGAGAGAGAGAGAGAGAGAGAGAGAGAGAGAGAGCTCAAATGGTACCTTGAAAACTGCCCTACGATAGCTGGAATGGAACCTCTGTATAATGCGCGGACTCCATACTGAGGAAGCTTCGACATAACTTCCGGAAAGTTCAGGGTTGAAGAAGCTTGCACCCATGTCTGAAAACAAAAAAAGTCTAACCAGTTGAACAAAAATGGCCAGAAAATCCCACGTAAGGTAAAGAACAAAATGACCGAACTCCCCATCGTTTTACCGTAATTGCCTGAATTTCTCTGGTTTGATTCTTTTAATATTCAAAAACATAAAGTGATCATCGCGTACTTCGAGTGTACGAAGAATAAATGGCTATAATAATGTAATAATGCTTCAAAGCGACAAGGCGTAAAGATTTTAGCAGTAGCAATAATATAATCATTAAGGACAAACTTTACCTTAATTGTGTCAACAGGGTGCATTATAGCTGCGGATAATGCACAAGAAAGCCCTCCGGCTAATGCCGATTTCAAAACACTATCACGGGGAATTTCTACAGCAGACTTTATACTCCTACCAAAATCACACAAAGCAGAAGTTTACTGTTAAAATTTCTACTCAGAAACTTATACAAGATGAGCTACTTAAAATATTTCTAAATTCTACACGTGCGTCTAATTAAATATTTGGGTTCGTAACACTCAAAATTTTATCTGTATGGGGAAAATATATAAACACAACTGATATATTGGAATATATGTATATTTCAATATTCGATACTTTTACCACCGGTACTTTTAGAAAATAGCAAAGGGTAAAAATTGGCAATCAAGATACAATTAATTTACATTAAAACTTCATTCTTTTCAAAAAGAACTTAAAGCAAAATATTTCAGAATAAAGAGAAACCTTAATTTACCATGAGCCATCTCGAAGTTGATCAGATGGGAGCAAAAGCATAAAGTTGTGGAATTGCCCGTAAGATATACATTCCTTAGTGTCCTTATTCAGATAACTCATCATGGCAAAATCATTATCTTCACTAGCTGGATATCCTGCATTTTCTAATAATGCCAATATTTCATTTTTCTCTTGCTTACTACACTCACCTGAATACAATCTCGTGTAAGCTCGACGAATGATTGGCTCTTTCTTTTCCAACAGAGATAAGAAATTTTTCCAGCCAAAAGATTTAGAGAACAAGTGAGTCCTCGTATGCCGTAAGAAATCACGAGCGTATATCTTTGGTAGCTTTCTCTTTTCCATAGCAATTTCAAGATCTTCCAGAGTAACTTTCCCATCACCATCTCTGTCCAGCTCCTGGAAGAATCTTTTTCCTGCAGAGACAACAGATTTTTCTGCTATTATTTGTTTCTTTAAGAAAAA